TCACTGACACACTGCCACTTTACACTCTCCTTTTCGTGCTTCAGCAACCAGCCGAGAAATTGTGAGCATGTGTGCAGAGCGACAACAAGTGCGTCGTGAACATGATCATTATGTATGAGGGTGAGGATGAGAACCGCAGCGGAGGTCATCAAGAAGCCCTGGACAGAATCACCACCACGCCGAGCGTGGACGTCGTGCATCCACGAGCGTGTGTTGTGTTGTGTGTGTGTGTGTGTGTGTGTGTGTGTGTGTGTGTGTGTGTGTGTGTGTGTGTGTGTGTGTGTGTGTGTGTGCGTGTGTGTGCGTGTGTGTGCGTGTGTGCTGCGATCAACCTTCATTGCCTCCTCTATCCTTTTCTTACCAACGTCGTCTCATCCTCCAACACCTGCTTGCTTGTTTGACGACTGACAATGATGATGCAATGTTCGTAATGATGTTTTGGGTTGCCTGCAGGCATTGACTACATCTTCATCAGCAACAACTACTGGATTGACGACGAGCGGCCCTGCTTGACATATGCAATGCGAGGGCACATTCGCATGGTTGTTTCCGTCCAGGGTCCAAAGTATGCACGAACACCTGTGCCCTGTGGAGCCACAACACACACAGTTTGCACGCACATGCACAGCCACACTTGCACAGCCACACTGGCACATGCACACAGATCCACGCACGCTCAACCACACCCGCTCATGCCCTGCCCTTCGGCATACTTTCTCCTCGTCATGTGCAGACAAAACGTGCACGCGGGTGTAGACGGTGGCGCCGTTGTTGAGCCGACAATTGACCTGTGCTACATTCTCGGAACACTCGTGGACGGGGCAGGCCGGGTCTGCGTTCCCGGGTGAGTGTGCGGGAGAACGAGAAAGTGTGTGTGTGTGTGTGTGTTTGTTTGTTTGTTTGTTTGTTTGTTTGTTTGTTTGTTTGTTTGTTTGTTTGTTTGTTTGTTTGTTTGTTTGTTTGTTTGTTTGTTTGTTTGTTTGTTTGTTTGTTTGTTTGTTTGTTTGTTTGTTTGTTAGCCGCCTTTGTCTCCATGCACCCACACAGACTCACACACATACACACACAATCTCCCACTCACACACATACACAATCACACACATCTTGGCGCAGATTCTACGAAGACGTGCGCGCTTCGAGTGAGGACGACGACGCGGCATTCGACCGCATTGCCTTTGACACCACGCAATACCGGCACGAGCTTGGCGTGCAGCGGCTGGCACAGGCGGCCGAACGCAACGCGCTGCGTGCTCGCTGGGCAGAGCCCACACTCTCCATCACGAACGTGCAGACCAGCAACGGTGACCAAGCGTTCTCAGTCATTCCACACAAGGCCACTGCCCAGGCAAGTCAACACAGGAAGGACTGTA